GAATCTTTAAAAAAAAAAAAAGTAAAGATATGATATTTTTTTTTCTACTTCTCAAAATTAAGAACATCTGTTTAGGGAGTATTCAGGGGTAAAGCAAATGGGACCCTGTGCTTTATGTTTACAGAAGATGTTGAGTATGAAAAAGATAAGCAATAGAAGTAGCTTTAAACGTTGATGTGTTGCCACCTTACGCCTATTTTTAAAACTTAATGTAAAATTATTTAAATAAGATCAAAGGTGTTCAGATTTCTTTTGAAACAAAAAGTTATCACAATGAGATCAAACAATATAGAAAAAAGAAAAAGCATCACTATTCTTTAGAGTGGAATTGGTAGAGAAAGTTTGTTTCATTATTTATAGATTTGCCATCTCCAGTGATTTTTCTCTAATATACTACTAATCATTTACTTTAGTCATAAAGACTGCTTCTAACTGTTATTTCCAGACAGGTGTTAAATTTTTCTAATTAGTACTAGTCGTTGCCTTAAAGACTAATTGAATATAAAATGAAAACGTAAGACAGTTTTGACTCTTTCCATTTTTGGTTTCATTTTATAATGTAACCATAATGCAAGGCTTCTTAACCTTAGCAATATTGACATTTGGGGTCAGATCATTCTTTGTTGTGGGAGGCTCTCCTGTGCATTGTCAGATGTTTAGCAACATCTCTGACCTCTACCCACAAGATACCAGTAGCACTCCCCAGTCATGAAGCAATGTCACCAGATGTTGCCAGGTGTCCCCTAAGGGGCAAAAGTAATTCCAGTTGAGAATCACTGCCATAGTGTATTTACTAAAGTTCTTATCAGCTTTTCAGGAGTATAATTTGAAATAAAGCAGTGTACCGTTAGTAGCTGGGCACAAAATCAGAACAGAAAAGCTGCTAGGCAGTATTTTGGGTAGTTCAGCATAAATAAAAAGATCAGAAACAGCAAGTACATTTCTTAATCAAAGACTGGGTTGTCTAGGTAATTGGTACAGAACAGACCACTGGAAACATTTTAGTGATTACCACACAGGGGAAATAAAATTAGTTAATAGCTAGAGATGTCATTTATGGCTGTTTTTCTTCAATCATTATTTTAAAATGTGAAGCAGCAGGATCTGCAGGTATTAGAGGACACATGAAGGTCCTTGTAACTATTTTTTTGTGTTACCCCCAAATCACAGTGATTTTCCATGGCGTGCTGGAATAAAAATGTCTCACTCCTTTTGTCATTATGTCCACAACAGGTGATGCCCAGTGCCCTGCTGGGAACACCATTAATCTAACTTCCTCTCCAAAATTTTTGGCATTTGGTACCATGACGAGCACTCAGCAGGCAAGCCGGTTCACAGGGTGTTTTTCAGTTTAAATACATGCCAGAGAAAATCGAAAAATATATCTATTTGAGAGATACAGAAAAGCAAAATGATTTCAAATTTTATTAAATTGAATATGCAGGAGAGAGAAATATACAAAAGCCTTAGCTGCCTACATGTATTAAGCTTCATATGCATTTGAAAACATCTCACATGTTTAGCTTTACTAAACATGTATACAAAAACCTGAATAGAAATTATTGATAGAGGGTAGTTAACATCACAGACTCCTTGAGGTAGTGTCAAGAAGAAGGGAAGACAGGACCAACCTGGATGCTGGGAGAAAACCCTACTCACTAGGTCTGTGGTGTTTTCCTTTACTCTGTGACATATACCTGCTGCAGAGCAAGGCAGGAAGAAGAAAAAGGAAATAGTATGTCTTCCCTGATTCTTTTTAAAATGAATTGAACTAATCTTGTTTTAAAACCCTGCCTCAGGGGGTGCCTGGGTGGCTCAGTCAGTTAAGCCTCAAGTCTTGGTTTCAGCTCAGGTCACGATGGAGATCAAGCCTCACATCCAGCCCCGAATCCAGCTCCTCGCTCAGCATGGAGTCTGTTTGGGATTGTTTTCCCTCTTCCTCTCCCTCCCCCTCTGCTCCTCACCCCCTGCGCATGTGTGCAAGCTCTCTCTCTCTCTCAAATAAATAAATAAATAAATGAAATCTTAAAAACAAAAACAAAACCCTGCCTCAAAAAAATTCCTCTTAAGATGTTCATACTAGATTAGACTTCTGAAAGTAAAATCATGCTATGCTATGGTCCTTCAAGTGACCCTCTGAACTATTGGACACTTGTATGGTAGATTCATAATTTGTTCTTGCAACTGGAGATGTGTTTTGTTTTGTTTTGTTTTGTTTTGTTTTGTTTTAGAGAGACAGAGAGCTAAAGCGTGAGCAGTTGGGGGGAATGTTGGCAGGAGGGCCCAGAGAGAGGGAGAGAGAGAAACTTAGGGAGGCTTCATGCCCAGTGCAGAGCCCCACACAGTGCTTGATCTCAAGACCCTGAGATCATGACCTGAGTGCAAATCAAGAATTGGTCACTTCACTGACTGAGCCACCCAGGCGCCCCAATAACTGGAGATGGTCTTAAAATGCCTAAGGCAGTAACAATAGTAGACATAATAGACAACCAATAAATAGCAGCTGAGTGAATGTATGGGAAGAAGGTGTCTTGGTGTAGAAGTATGCCTTATTGTGTAATATAAAAAATTTTACATCAGTAGAGAAAAACATACACAAAAGAAGTCATGCACCCATCACCCAGCTTGAAAATTATCAACTCATGGCCAAACTTGCTTCAAGTATACCCCACCTACTTTTCCTTTCTCTGTTGTTTTGAAGCAAATTCCAAATATATCACTTCATTCATAAATATTTCAGTGTCTGCCTCTAAAAGATTAGGGCTCGGGCGCCTGCGTGGCTCAGTTGGTTGAGCGACTGCCTTCGGCTCAGGTCATGATCCTGGAGTCCCAGGATCGAGTCCCACATCGGGCTTCCTGCTTGACGGGGAGTCTGCTTCTCCCTCTGACCCTCTTCCCTCTCGTGCTCTCTGTCTCTCATTCTCTCTTTCTCAAATAAATAAATAAAAATCTTTAAAAAAAAATAAAGTCATTAAAAAAATAAATAAAACATTAGGGCTCTTTTCTTTAAAAATCACATTATTGTGCCTGAAAAATTAAAACAATTTCTTAATAACGTCAGGTATCCTGGCTTCAAATTTTCAATTGTCTGATAAATATCTTTTTTTTTTACAGTTTCATTGGAATCAGGATTCAAAAAAGATCCACAGATTGTGATTATTTGATGTATTTCTTAAATATTTTTTAGTCGTCAGTTTTCCCCCATCTTCTCCTTATTTTCTCCCTTGTAATTTATGTGTTGGGGAACTGGGTTGTTTGTATTGCAGCATTTTCCACAGCCTGGAGTTTGCTGATTTTATCCCAAGAGTGTCACTTACTGAGGTATCACTTATATTCCTCTGTCTCCTGTATTTCCTGTAAACTGGGAGTTGGAGCTAAAGACTTAATCAGATTCAGATTCAGTTTTCTTTTTGCAAGTTCAAAAACAAGGTGGTGGCCAAATCATAGTGACAGTGTTTTTGACTTTTTGCTCGGTGCCTTGCAAACTATGTGCCTCAAAATGTGCTTATGTTCTATAAGCATTATGTCATTTAATCATATTTAAGCTTCATAATACTGGTACATATCAATTTCTGTCTGATGACTAGATTCCTTTAGTAGGGTCAAGTAATCTTAAATGTCTTTCAAACAAACCCTTCAGTGTATACCCCATTGTCATTTATGTGATTTAATTTAGAATTCTGTCTGAATTTTCTTTTTACTGGATTCTTTTAGAGCAATACAAAAATAGCTTGCATTAAAGGCATTTTTTATATTTTAATAATAAAGCTCAAAGACCTGTCACTTCACTGTGAATTCGTTATACTCAAGCTTTTTGGTACTGGAATTCACCATCTGTTAATCTCACAAAGACAGATATCTAAATCGTAAATAGGGCCAACAGAATTCAGTGTTTCCTGAGTCTCTTTTTCCCTTGCACTCATTGTCTTCTGCAGGTGCACTTAGGTCTCTTTCATCTCTCTGCTTTCTTTGCATGCTCACAGTGCTCACAGTATCCTACTGTTACCCAGTGTGAGAAACTGGCTGGTGATTGTAAAAGCAAAAGTAGCTTTTCATTGTTTGTTTACATATCTGTAATTTGTTCTGTTCAGTTATCTCCATACCCCCAAAATTTACCATTTATAAAACCCAGACCATTGGAGTTCCAGACTCAAAAAATAAATGTCCAGTTATCTTGCCCAACTGACACTTTTGAAGATTAAACTGTTTAATATGTTGTTGATGGAGAAAAGGCTGTAGCTGGCCCAAGTTGCAATTAGATAGCAGAGAACTGGGCGCAAAACGAGGATCCCACTGTGTAGCTTTCCAAGCTGACATGCAAAGAGTAATTTATTCTTTATGTGTCTTAACCCTTCTTCAATTATTTTTCCTTTAATAATTGTAACAACATGCTCCTCAAGCTTCCAGAGTACCCATTAGGTGAAGTATTTGGTTGGTTGAATGGAAGGAACATAAAGCCTTAGTGAATACAACAGAGAAATAGGAATGAGCTGGAAGTTTAATTTCTTATTCTGGTTGCACTTCACTATGAGACATTCAACAAATAGCCAAATTCTCTGTTCTTATTTCTTTGAAACAAAATTATTTTTATGCTGATTATCCATAAAGAACTTGAAGATTCTTATTTGAAATTGTCCTCTGTAAGGTTGTAGTATATCGGAATTGTTTCTCTGTACCTGATCTCACAGAGTGCCCAGGGTAGCATGGTGCACGTGCTCGTGCTTCCTAAGTAGCTTTAGATGCTGGTGGTATTTGAAAGGTTATACATTTTAAAGGGTATTTTGTTCCCTTTTTCCTTGGCAGGACCAAGGAGCTTCCTTTTCTAAGACCAGTGCTGTTTGGACTCAGTGAAAGTACACTTTGTTCTAGGAGAATTGCCATGTGAAAGCCTAGAATATATATTGAGTTCTTCCAAGAAGGGGGGCAAAAATCATGTTCTAGGACAGTGAAGGCTGACTTGGTGCTGAACGAATGATTGTTATGTGCTCTTTTACTCACAGGCTCGCTTTTCATATGTGCGGATGAAATATCTTTTCTTTTCCTGGTTGGTGGTTTTTGTTGGAAGCTGGATTATATATGTGCAATACTCTACCTATACAGAACTATGCAGAGGGAAGGACTGTAAGAAAATAATAGTAAGTATTTTTGATTATGTAGAAAAACTATATTAATAATATATTTACTGCTTATATACTTACTAATAATTGTTTTCAAAAAGTAAAAGTTAATTCGACCTTAGGGTTTTGTTGAACTTTATAGCTTTTCAGTGTGACCAAGTTAGTAGGAGTGTTCCACGCCTTGAAAAATCTACACTTCAGAAATCTAAATATATAATACTAGATTAGTGTGAGAGCATCCTCATTACAGACAGGGATTCTTTTTAAAATATACTAAAAGTTGAGTTCACTCACATCAGATGAGTTTTTAAATGTTTAGAGTATAAAAGTATTATTTACAGGCAACCTTTCTGGAACACACCTTTTGAATAAATGGGGTCATTCTCAAATACCAAAAATGTATCTGAAAAGCATATAATATATTTTGTATTTAATTTCTATCCTAATGATTGGATATATCTCAGGAAAATTACTCTATCACTCTAAGATTTCTAATAGTAATTATTGGTTATACGTTTGAGGATCAGTAAATTTAACTCCTTGTTTTCTTCTAATATCTTCTGATATAAGTAATATCAAAACATTGCCTCTGAGAATTACATTTTTTATAATAATGATTGTTGGGATCCCAATTACTATAACTTATTAAAGATTCTATAGTTATTAAGTAGTTACTCTTCACCTAGGCCAATGGTGCTAGGTATATGCATATAGCAGGGAACGAGCTATCATGACCTTAGGAACTTAGAGTCTAGCAGGGAAGAAAATGAATACAGTAAGGTAGGATAATGATTGCAATAGCAAGTGTTATAGGAACATAAGACAGGGATACCTGAAGTTCTAAGGAAATGAAAATCAGTTTAACTCTAAGCATTCTCAATTAAGATAAAAAATTATTCCCCAGGAGTATTACAGCCTCTTAAATAGGAAAGGGAAGAATTACTGATATAATAAGCAGGGAAATGAATTAGTAAAGATGAGTCCCAAATCAAGTTCACAGGTGTCAGTCTTATATGTCCATTTCAGTTGGCCATCCCAGATTATTGAGGAATTTTTTTTAAGATTTTATTTATTTATTTGAGAGAGAGCATGAGGAGGGGGAGGGGCAGAGGGAGAGGGAAAAGCAGACTCCCCGCTGAGCAGGGGGCCTGATGCAGCACTCCATCCCAGGACCCCAAGATCATGACCTGAGCTGAAGGCAGATACTTAACCCACTGAGCCACCTAGGTGCCCCCAGTCCTTAAAGAATTTTAAGATAGAAACCTCTGGGGCCAGGCAATGTACTGCATACTGGTCAGTAATACTTAAAATAATACTATGAAAGTCCCCCAAGCCCATTTTACAAATAAAGAAATATGTACACCTGAAATTAATGTAACATTGTCAGCTATACTTTAATCAAATATATATAATTTATATATATATGACTAAGAGAGAGAATTTGGTTGTGATGGTGGAGCCAGAATTTGTTCCTAATTCTATCTCTGTATAAAGCTCAGATTCTGTCTGCTACCCTATGTCAGAAAAGACTAACAAAATTATAGTTTAATAAAACTAAGAAAAAAATCCCACAAAATTCACCTGCTTACCTTCAATGAAGAAGAAAGAAGCAGGAGTTATATAATCAATTATAATAACATAAAATAACCAAAACTATTTGAAATGTCTATTTTTCCTTTTTCTAGGGCACTTTTCTCAAACTAGGTGTCTTGGGGCACATTAAAAGGTATCCGATGGATAAAAGTTGTCCGCCATCAGATATATTCGAAAACAGCAGGTTAAACAAAGATAAATAGGTGACTTTACTGAGGACTTCCCAGGATCTTTAATATACTAATATATACTGTGCATCTCCAGAAAAAACAAATATATTTGATTAGGAAAAGATCCATCCCACGACTCTCAGGAAGACCTATTAACATCATCTGGTGATGTTAGAAATACTGTAATAAGAGATTAAAACAAAATGAAATAGATATGCTTTTATTGTGTATTAATATAATATTGAAATTATAAGGCATATTATGGTGAATATTCTGTTACAAATGAGTTATAGTTGTGAAGTATTTTTTATTTTATTTATTTTTAGTATTTTATTATTAAAGTATTTTTCATGATTTTTCCTTTAGTTTCACTATATAAGAAATGGAAGCAGAATTCTAGCATAATTTAATAATTCTAATATAATAATAATTCTAGCATAATTTAATGGTTATCTTACTAAAATTTGAAAAAAATGAAAACATTTTCTGAGCCTAAAACATATCTTTTCCCTGAAGCTTGCTTAAAAAAAAAATTGTAGTTTCTCTGCATTTGGGAATTATGTTCTTAAAACTTACCAAAACTGGTAGTATTAAGATCAGTAGTGCTAAGATAGAACTAACATTTAATAGGGATTGTGTGATTGGAACTAAAAAGCAAGCAGAAAAAATATTTCTTAAGAATACATTAAAGCTTCAAAGAGCTGACAAGGTATCTTGTGAGGAATTACTTGGTCAAGATCTGGGAGAGGATAAGATTTGAGAGAGGTGAGCCTAGATTTGGTGACTTTGTTTGCCTGGGGTATATGACCTAAAATAGAGTTTTATGGGGTTAGGAAGATAAAAATCTAGTCTAGGTCCTACCAAGGGTAGGACCTTGGTACACCATGCTGTGGGCTGATACCCTAAAGAGCTGAACCCCAACAGTAAAGGTAAACTAAAAGAACCTCAGTGATGTGAGCTGAATTTTGGAGCCTCTTTTTCACTCAGGGATATTGCTGATACTTGGCATGAGCAGGGGTCTGAGGAACAGGACTGTACACTAGGAGAGAGCTGCTGCTAGGGACAAGAATTAGCAAGCTTTTGTAGAAAGTAAGAGAGCCTCAAGCATACAGCCAGTTATCCTGTTTGGATATTTGCCAAATCCTAGGGTTTTACAGAATGGGAGGCTAAACATCTCATTGGAAAGCCTTTGAAAAGCAGAGCAGACATTTTGGCAGCCACACAAGATTCAGCCTAGAGTTATGAACCTGCCAATGGGGGGAAACCCCAATGAATTCCCAGGCTCTCTATTTAAAACCCTAGAGGGCTATGCTCTTGGAATGGAGAATAGCCAAAAATAGCTTGAGCTTTACCAGAGCTGCAGCCCACCCTCCATTCAGCACAGTGCCTGATTGGGTTAAGATGATCAGCTACCATTTTATCTGTCTACCCAAGGGAAGGGAAACCCTCTCTGGAGGCACTATGTGAAAAACTAGAGGACATGGCAAAAGACATGGTGGCATGATCAAAAACTAAGAGATAAATATGGACAGTAGAATCAGATCCACAGATGATCCTGATAGTGCCTCAAAAAGTTAAATAGGGAATTACCGCATGATCCAACAATTCTGCTTCTAGGTGTATACCCAGAAGAATTGAAAGCAGGAACTCAAGGAGATACTTGCATACCAGTGTTCAGAGTAGCATTATTCACAATAACCAAATGATGGAAACAACTCTAACATCCATTAACAGATGAATGCATAAACAAAATTCATGGAATATTATTCAACCTTAAAAAGGATGAAATTCTGATGCATTCTACAACATGGATGAACCTCAAAAACATTATGCTAAATGATATAAGCCAGACACTAAATGACAAATATTGTATAATTCCACTTATATGAGGTACCTAGAATAACAATTATAGATAAATTGGGAGAATGGTAAAAGGAGTTAAAATGTTTAAGATTCTCATCATATAGCAGAGTAGGGTAAAAGTATCAACTAGATAATATCAATTAGTCTATTCATAACAATTAATAAAATGTCCCTCAATTAACTTTAGAGTTTGTTGATTGAAATACGCATATTGTTATTTCTAGGATAGCCTCTGGAATAGAAAAAGAGTGTATCATCTCCAAACTAATAAAAAAAATGGAATAATAAAAGAATACTCTGTTCTAAAGAAGGCAAGAAAGTAAAGAAAAAAGGAACATATAGGCAGTAGAATTACAAAATACATAATAAGACGATAGATGTCACAAGTTGAAATCCCAGGAAACAGACTCAGAGACTGAGATTTGCCTGCAGGATGTTTGTTGGGTTGGGCTCTTGAGATTAATATCTGTGGGGAAGTGAGGAAACAGGATAGACCAGAGAAGTTAAACTGCACTACAGTGGTAACAAAGACCTCAGTCAATTCTACAGGGAACTTTGGAGCTGGGGTAGCCTTGCAAATGTCCAGGCATTTATACCCTGTCACTGACCAGTCACTGGATACAGTTTTCTACCCTCTTCCACCCTCTCTTAAGGGGACATGACCTTGGGTAAGGCTGTATTGTAGGCTGAGGTCAAGTCCCAAAGAAAAATTCAGCTGAGAGCTGTTGACTACTTAGATGCCCAACAGCTGAGGGAATGAGTGCTCCAGTTCTGGACAAGATATGGCTGACTTACCATGGCATTGGCTGTAGTATATGTCAACCCAAATATGTTGGTAATTACATTAAATGTAAATGGACCAAATGCTTCAGTTAAAAGGCAAAGACTGTCAGACTGTACTAAAATTTTTTAAAAATTATATTTACAAGAGACACATCTAAAATATAATGATGCAGATGGATTGAAAGTAAAAGAATAGGAAAAAAATTCATGCAACTATGCAAATTATAAAAGAGCAGATGTTTAAAGGAAAAACCATAGTTATATATATATTGATGTAAGTTTTATATTACACAAATTATACCTCTTTTTAAAGTCTAAACCAGCCCTTACTGGCATGAAATGTAATGCTTTTTAAATTCGTTTCTCCTGTGTTTTAGTTTTACAATGTCTGCCTAAGTAATTGTCTGGCCTTTTCACAAACATTGGCAATATCCACACATACTTTTTTTGGCCCTGGTAATTCCTGTTATGAAATGTAGAGTCTAAACTGATTTTCTTTCTCCCTCTGTATTACTCCATAGTCTGTTCTCTTATTTAAGTGGACTGAACTGAACCAGAGCATATAATAAGATGGCTGATTTTCAATTTGGATATAAAAATATAAAACTG